CATTGGATGCTGGACAAAATTACTGGTGTATTATTTGCTCCTCGTCCATCTACCGGGCTCAACAAACAGAGAGAATATCTGCTACTGATCATTTTCTTAAGAAGCCGACTAAAGAATGACCTGACAGGAGATGAGGTAAAAAAAAAAAATCTGCATGCAGTGGTTCATTAAGATTGATGGCAAGGTTCAAACTGATATAACCTACCCTACTGATTATATGGATGTAATCAGCATTGACAAGACTGTAGAGAATTTCTGTCTGACCTATGACACCAAAGGTTGATTTGCTGTTCACCCACTACATTGGAGACAAAATACAAGTTATGCAAAATAAGAAAGATCTTTGTGGGCAAAAAGAAATCCCTTATCTGGTGATCCATGACTCTCGAACCATCCACTACCCTGACCCTCTCATCAAGGTGAATGACAGCATTTGGATTGATTTGGAGACTGGGAAGATTACTGACTTCATCGAGCTTGACACTGGTAACCTGTGCATGGTGAGTGAAGGTGTTAATTGGGGAAGAATTGGTGTGATCTCTAACAGAGAGAGCCATCTTGGCTCTTTTGATGTCGTTCATGTGAAAGATGCCAGTGGCAATATCTTTGCCACCTAGCCGGCCAGCATTTTTGTTATTGACTTTAAAGACAATAAACCTCTCTTCCCCGAGGAAAGGGTATCTGCCTTACCATTGCTGAAGGAAGAGACAAGAGACTGGCTGCAAAACAGAGCAGTGGACGAAATGATCTCTGGGCGATGTGAATGAAGAGGACAGAATTAAAGATAATACACAGCGGGGGGAGGGGGCAATTTACAGCCTTGGAAACCCAGTGGAAACTCACCAGGAGTCAGAACGGACTAGACAGCAGCTAAATTGTTGCTTTTGTTGTTAGGTGTCATCAAGCTGACTATGACTCATAGTGACCTTATGACCCCAGAACAATGAATCTGGACCTTGTCCAATCCTGTGCCACCCCCAGCCTCTCTGATATGCTTAAGCCCCTTATTGCAGTCATTGTGTCAATCTATCTCGTTGAAGGTCTTCTTCTCTTGGATCATCCATTTTCGCCAGCATTATGTCTTTTTCCAAGAACTGGCCCCTCCTGACCACATACATGTCAAAGTATATGAGATGACGCTTCATCATCCTTGTCTCTAAGAAGCACTCTGGTTGTACTTTCTGTAAAGACACGGGTGCTTTTTTGGCAGTCCATGGGATTGTTGTTGCTATGTGCCATTGAGTCGTTTGCGACTACAGCTCTGAATCCTGCTCTATCCTGGGCCAACCTCACTGTCTCTGACACACCTACTCCCACTGCCCCAGTCACTGAGTCATTTCATCTCTTCGAGCGTCTTCCTCTCTTGCACTGATGGGATCTTCAATACTATTCTCTAGCACCACATTTCAAAGGCATCGTATCTTCTTCTTTAATCCTTATTCATCGTCCACCTTTCAGATGCTTAGGAAGTAAGAGGCAGTGGTCAGAACAGAGCAGGGAAACACTGGATGGTTCAAAATCAAGAAAGGGGTCCGTCAGGGATGTATTTTGTCTCCATACCTTTCCAATCTGTATGCAGAACAGATCATCCGAGACGCTCGGCTGTACGAGGAGGAAAAAAAAAAAGGATTGGTGGAAGAATCATCAACAACCTGCGTTATGCAGATGACACAACCCTGCTCGCTGAAACTGAGGAGAAACTGAAGCGCTTGCAGTCTTCAATCTGGATTGAATACATTGTCTTTCACACAAGATATTTGTCCTTATGGGGCTGAGTTCACTCAGCATTATGCTCTCCAGTCCCTCCCAAGTTAGGTAGTAATTTATAAAATCATTGCTCCTGGTGTGCTGCGTAGTATTCCACTGTGTGAATGTACCACAACTTCTCAATCCATTTGCCTGTGGTTGGACATCTGGGCTATTTCCATGTTCTTGTGATGGTGAATAATGCTGCTATGAAAACTGGTGTACAAGTCTCCATTTAAGCCTCAGTTCTCTTTTTCTTGAAGTATATTCTGAGCAATAGAATAGGTAAGTTATATGGAATTTCTAGGGCTGCCTTCTCCTTGAAGTTTCCCAGAGGCCTCTAGTGAGGATCAGATTCTCAATTATTCATTCCATAGCTGTATATTGAGCACCAGCTAGGTGTCAGACCCTGTGCCCGGTACCGGCAATTTTGTGAGCATGAAGGAAGCATTCCTACCCACAGGGAGTTTCTGGTTATTGATCACAAAACATAAGTAAGTAAACAAACAAAAAATCCACCGATTTCAAGAAGTGAGATGGATTTTTTTTTTAGGTGCAAGGGATTTATTTGCCTTTATCACAGTTCTATATGTGCCATCCTTAAACCCGCTGCCATTAGGTCAGTTATGACTCGAGGTTTCTGAGGCTTTAAATCTTTACAGGAGACAGTCTTTCCAGCAGGTGAAGCTCAATATCAAGAAAACAAAGATTCTCACTACTGGGCCAATTGACAGCATCAGGATGGATGGTGGAGAGATTTCGTTTACTTGGTTCCACAGTCAACACTCTTGGTAACAGCAGCCGGGAAATCAAAAGACAAATTGCATTGGGAAAGTCGGCTGTGCGGGACCTCTCGAGAGTACTGAAGTGCAACGACGTCAGGCTGGAGACTAAGGTGCGCCTGATTCAGGCTTTAGTCTTTGCAATTACGTGCTATGCATCGGAGAGTTGCACAGTGAATAGGGATGATAGAAAGAGAATTGATGCCTTTGAGCTATAGTGCTGGACAAGAGTGTTGAATACATGGACTGCTAGGAGAACAAACAGGTTTGTCCTGGAGAGGGTGAAGCCAGAATGTTCCCTGGAGTCAAGGATTCTGAGGCTTCGTCTGACATATTTTGGGCGTGTTGCAAGGAGGGACTGGTTCTTGGAGAGGGACATTGTGTTTGGGAGAGTGGAGGGGTAGCGAAGGAGATGAAGACCCTCGATGAGATGGATCGATTCTGTGAGTGGAGTGGTGGGAATGAATGTGTTTTAGACAGCGAGGTTGGCACAGGATAGGGTCCCTCCGAGTCGCAAACGACTCGACAGTACATAACAACAACAACAACAACTGAAAAGAGCATGGCTTGGGGGCGGTAGACTAGGATTACCCAGCCAGCTAAAGAAAAAGACCCCAAAACCATTTAAAAAAATCAATAGCTTTCCCACATATAGCAACCACCAATCAGGAACCGCTCAGACATAGCGGCCCCGCCCCGAACGCGCAGCAGCTTCTCCCCAGGGAGTGACGTCAGGCCGCTCCGGACACGCCCGCTGAAGCCGCGCGCGGCCTGGCGGAAGTGACGCCATAAATAAGCGCCGCGTTCAGTGGGGCCGGGCTGGGGGCCGTAGCTGGCCTTTGGTTTTGCGTGCGGTTGGTCGCCTTAGGAGTTTCGGGTAACAACCGTTTACTTCCCACTTTTCTCGTTATTTGGGAGTCGGAGGTGTTGAGGCCGGGGCTCTAGCTGTGGCCGAGGCTCCTGGGAATAGTCGAGCCGTGGCGGGCCGGGCGCGGAGAGGCGCGGGGCCTCTCGCGGGGCCGTCACTGGGCTTGGCGACGTACTTGGCGGCTTTCTGCAGTGGGAGTGCGGGGCGCAGGCAGCAGCAAAGACTCCTGACCCTCCGGCCCAGTGACTGGAGCGGTGGGAATAAATGCGTTTGAGATGGCTAGGTTGGCACAGGATAGAACAGCATTTAGAGCTCTTGTACATAGGGTTGCTATGAGTCGCAAGCGACTCGATGGCACATAACAATAACAAGAACAACAGCCTTCAGTGAGATAGATTGACACAGTGACTGCAGCAGTGGGCTCTAGAATGTCAAAGACCATGAGGATGACCCAGGATAGGTCAAGGTTCAGATCCATTAGTTAGAGGGTGGCTGTGACTTATACTTGATTTGATGTCCCTAACAACAACATGTTTAATATCTCATTGTACAACTCTGTCACAGTCCTCTCTTAAAGTTGTTGTTGAGTACTGTCAAGTTGGAGCGGACCCGTAGCTGACTGTCCAGTGGGTTTTCAGAGGCAGTTTAATCACATGGTAGGAGATTGCCCATCTTTCTCCCAGTAAGCACCTGGTGGATTTGAACTGCGTTCCTCTAGGCTTGCAGCGCAGGTTCTTAATCACAAGGCCCATGTGCTCCCTTTTATTAAAGTAGGAGTTCAGTCATGATTAAATGAGAAAGTACTTACTCCAATCCAGTGTTTATCAACCTTTACACTTAAAGTCATTGTAGAAGATGAAAATGAGTATAATACTTAAATACGTGAGTTTTGCTTGTGTGTATTGTGCTTAGTACATTTTTCTTGACCATTATGCTTAGAAATTTATTTTCCCATTGTTCTCCTCAAATATATTAATTCTTATTATGACACCTGAATTTTGAACATGACCAGAGATTTAAATAAAACACATAACAAAACAATTCAGTAAATATTAATAGAAGCCTTTGCTTTATTTGTTGGTAATTTAGCCGTTACAGGGAATGTGGGATGGCTCTCAAAAATTCCATTTTTTGAGCTGTAAACGACTCATAGCTGACTATCAGTGTGCAGATTGCATAGAAGGCTGTACATCACATGAAAAGAAATTGCCCATCTTTCTCATGTGGAGTTGCTGGTGAATTGGAACTACCAGAGGCCCTACCTTTGGGTTGGCAGTGCCACTCCCTTCTGACAAGCTGTCAGAGCTTCCTGTAGCAAAGTTAGGCACTGGAATTATAAGGCAAAAAGAAATGTTGCTTGTGTGGTTTTTTTCTGTTGTTTGCTTTTTAAAACCATGAACCCGTTTATAAACTAATTGTAATCCAACTATGTTTGTATTGTAAACTACACTCTGTTTTCAGAGCACCATCACCTTGTGGTATGTGTGAAGATAACCCAAAGAGAGACGAAGTTGTTAAGACTACTCTGGTGATGCTCTTGGGAGAAGACTAAGTGCTGAGAGTGATATTTAGCAGGTGCTTTGGTCCTTCAAGAACTGAGCACCATGGATCAAAACAACAGCCTCCCACCATACGCCCAGGGCCTGGCCTCCCCACAGGTAACACAGTGGGAAGAGGGAACAGGGAGAGCTCAGGTATAAGGTTGGGGCCCTGCCTTCATTCTCTTCCTACACTAAGAGCCTACAGGTACTAGAAGGGTCTTTGTGTATTCTCACCTGCTTTTCCACCAGGCAAACCCTGCAGACACCAGCCAGCCTGACCCTCTGTACTTTGCTTTCTGCAGGGTGCACTGACCCCTGGGATCCCAATATTCAGCCCCATGATGCCATATGGCACTGGCCTGACACCACAGCCCATCCAGAGTACCAACAGCCTGACTCTTTTGGAGGAGCAGCGACAGCAGCAGCAGCAGCAACAGCAACAACAGCAGCAACAACAGCAGCAGCAGCAACAGCAGCAACAGCAGCAGCAGCAACAGCAGCAGCAGCAACAGCAGCAAGCAGTGGCAGCGACAGCCCAGCAGTCCACATCCCAGCAGGCGCCCACAGGGGCCACAGGACAAACCCCCCAGCTCTTCCACTCTCAGACTCTTACAACCGCGCCTCTGCCAGGCACCACCCCACTGTACCCATCCCCAATGACACCCATGACCCCTATTACTCCCGCCACACCAGCTTCCGAGAGCTCTGGAATTGTACCTCAGCTGCAGTGAGTATTTATGTTTCTCCCTGTCCTCAGACACCCCATTCTAGGGTGTAGTATGCTTTTCAGATACACCCCGTTTCTGAGGCATAGTCCTTGTGTGTGTAATGGTCCAGGTGTCTTGAGGTGTGGCCCTTGTGGGTGATGGCCTAGAGGTCGGGGGGAACCCTTGTATGTGGTAACTTAGGTGTCTTAAGTGTGGCCCTCATATGTGATAACTGAGGTGTTTGAGGTGAGGCCCTTGTGGGTGATAGATGAGGTGTTTAAGGTATGGCCCTCATATGTGATAACTAAGATGTCTGAGGTGAGCAGATATTCAAAGGCAGTAAATCACATGGGAAGAGACTGCCTTTCCTGCTCTTGCAGAGCTGCTAGTATATACTTGAACCATGCGTCTTTGGGATTGCAGCACAGCTTCTTACAATTAGGCCTCTAGAGTTCCCCTGTCAGAGCATAGCTTTTCATAATATCCTTTTGTTACCATTTTTATTTCAGTTAATTGTATTGTGACATTACCTGTTTCATTTCTATTTGGGTTTTTTTGTTGTTGTTGTTGTTGTTAAGGTTGCCAGTGGTTTGTCAATGTTACTAAGCCTTTCAAAAAACCAACTCCTGGTCTTGTTGATAGATTGAATTCTCTGTTTTCTGTACCATTTATTTCTGCCCTTCATAATTTTTTATGTTCTATGGTTGTAGGATTGTTGGTGGTGTTGGGTTAAGTAGTTGATTTTCATTCTTTTGCCTTTTTGATGTGTTTGCTTGTTGCTATAAACTCTCAATCCTGCTTTTGCTGTATCCCAGAGATGTTGGTATTCTCTATTTTCATTCTCAGTTGTTTTAAGAATTTTTTTTGTGTGTGATTTAAAAAAAAAAAAAATTAACCCAGCAGTGATCAAGCAAGTTGTTACTTAGCTCCCAAGTGCATAATGTTTTCTCCTTTATCCTCTTGTTGATTTCTCAATTTTTAGCATTGTGGTCTAAGAAGATGTCTTTTAGTATTTCAGTAAGATTTGCTTGGTGACCTAACATACAGTCTGCACTGAAGAAGAATATATATTGAGTGTTGTTGGGTGTAGTACCCTGTGTATGTCTGTAAGTTTAATTGTACAAGTTGGTTTATTTTGTAAGGGTATTCTAGTGGTAAGGAGAGCTATGTTGCAGATGCAGGTGGTTTGGATCCACTATATGCTTTATGGTGGAAAGGTGGGCAGTCTCCTTCTGTGTGATTTATAACCTCTGGTAGGTCAGCTATGAATCCGTTCTGACACAACAGCATACAGCAATTTTGTGGTTTAGATTTTCTACATCTTTGTTCAGTTTCTTTCAAATTGTCCTGTCTTTTATTGAAAGTAGTGTGTTGAAGTCTCCAGCTACTACTGTGGGTAGTGGTGTTAGAGTCGAATTGATTCAAGCATAACTCATAGCGACCCTGTGAACAACAGATCTTATCTATCCTGTGCCATCCTTACCATCTCTGACATACTTGAGTCCATTGCCAAAGTCACTGTCAGTCCATCTCATTGAAGATCATTCTCTCTTTTGCTGACCCTCCATCTCTCCCAGTATAATGTCCCTTTCCAAAGAATAGCCCTTCCTAACAACATGCCCAAAGTATGTAGACAAAGATTCACGATCTAAGGAACACTCTGGCTGCACTTTCTCCAGGACATGTCTGTCTATGAGATAGTCAGTACTCATCTCCAACACCACATCTCAAAGGCATAAATTCTTCTGTCATTCATTGTCCAGCTCTCAGATGCATAGCAGGTGATTGTAAAGACCATGACTTCCAGTCATTTGTACCTTGGTCGTTAAGCTGTGAACTTTGCTCTTCAGGACTTTGGAGCGGTCCGTGACTACATATTTTTTCAATTCTATATATCCTGACTGCTAGTATCAAGAATGCTGATTTTGGATCCAAGCGAGAGGTAATTCTTGACAGTTTCAATTTTTTATCTATCATGTTTTTTCCTATTGGTCCAGTAGTGAGAATTTTTGCTTTCTTCATGTTGAGTTGCAAACCATGTTGAAGGCTATAGTCATTCATCTTCTGCAGGACATACTTCAGGGCCGCCTCTCTTGCAGCAAGCAAGGTCTGTCGTTTGCACAGTGCAAGTTGTTGATGGTCTTCCTTCAATCTTGTGCCACAGTCTTCATAAACTTCAGCTTCTTGAATGATTTCTCAGCATACAGCTCGAATAAGTGTGGAGAAAGGATACAGCCCTGACACACACCTTTCTTGATTTTAAGCTATGCATTCTCCCCTTGTTCTCTTCGGACAATAGCTTCTTAGTTTAGGTATAGATTTTGCGTGAGCACAACTAACTTCTGGGATTCCCATTCTTTTCACACTCTTGTTATGGTATTGTCTGTCTGTCTTTCTAGTGGTTAACATTTTTTTTTCTGAGAGAGGATTTTCCTTTTTTTTTTCCCTATAATTATATTTTATTAATTTTCATAAACATTTACAGAGATTTTGGG